GGAGTTCAGGAGATTGTCTTGACCAGGACCACACCCCTAAATGCATTGAAGCAACTGCCATGTGATTGGTTGATTAGATAATTGCATTCATGAGAAATTGAACAGGTGTTCCTAATAATCCTTTAGGTGAGTGTATGTTGTTGCTGTCTGATGAATCCATCAATACCATGTATCTGCCACCCTTTGTTTGGAAAAGCGTCAACTAGGGCTGGAGGATTCTGAGTAAAAGACACATTGTTTGTTTTCTTCCACGCTAAAACAAGATTACAATTTTCTCTCATTATTCTTGTGCAATAAATGTCTCTCTTTATGTTAATAATAATAATATGGATCCAATCACTCTCCACTGCCATGCCCCTCATTCAGCCACATTCGCCAGACTACTGACAGCTATTTGATTACTGAGCGTGATTCTGCCCTGCTTTTAGATTTGGTACTGTTCATATTCTCCATAGGGATGCACCACTAACAATACGATCGTTACTGAAATGGAACTGCCAAATAAACTATGCAGAAAAAAAGAGAACATTCCTGGCTTTTAACAAACAACTCGTTTCCAAGTGCAAGAAATGCATTTGTCTGCTCTATGTTCTTACTGTTGTATGCACCAGATACCGCCCCTTCATCAATAAAGTTAATCTTTATTTTAAAATGATTCATTTTGCAGCCCTAGCATCACACAGTTTACCTCAGCTGATTGCTGTCACTGGAAACCAGAAGAAAGTTTGCACTGCAGTTTGAGTAAGATGCTGCTGTCAAGGTAAAGTAACAGCCACACCCTAAGCTTCTCGTTTGAAAACAGAGTTTGTTTGTACTCGTTAACATTTGCATTCAGGATGGTGGTTGTTTGTACATATTACGTTATATTGCTAATTCTAACGACTGATATCTAGATCATAAGACTAAGCTTATTATATCCAAATGTTTTTTCATGATTCTGAAATACTGGATTTTTGGAGATACATGATTTTCATTGGACAGCAACAATATATTAGTTAAACATGTATATTTCACATTCAGTTCAGTCTATATCGCTTTTCATACCTTACCTTTTTATGGGCAATGTTCTTGGTGCATACAAATCCATTTACAACAGATGAGTCAAACTTCTTTCCTCCTGAAATCTGGAGGATCCAAAATAAGAAGACATCAGTGGATGTTTTTGAATAAGGTACTAAAAATGCTCCAATATGCACAAACTTGATCATCATTTTTATAGTTTTACTGGTATATGTTGTATTAGAATACAGCATATAAAGAAGGATGTCCAAATGGAGAGAGCACATCAGCAGACTTTTGTCAAAGTGGCCACAGACACACTGTGATGAATGGCACCCGAAACAGAAGCATGTTATTAGTCAGCCACATCCCTGACCTTCTTGATGTGGACAAACTGCCGTATGTCCATGTCGTCGTCACTGCTGCGCACATCCGGCCGCACTGTCTGAACCACCTGCCGCACCACTGGCACGATGATATCACGCCAGGACAGTGATAGTGACTCACTGTATAGCAGCTGTTGCAACAGTGCCATCATGTGGCTGTGGTTTGCCGAGCTGTACAGACAGACGGGCCAATGGGGTGGTGAGTTCCTGACTACTCTTCTGTAATCTTCAATTATTTTTTTGTAATATTCTACTGAAATTGTCCAAAAAAGCACTATAATAACTGGATAATCAGTTCTTTTGTAGGATTATTATCTGTTTCCAAACCCGGTCCTCAAGGACCCCGAGACAGTCCACATTTTTGCTCCCTCCCAGACAGTCAACATTTTTGTTCCCTAACAGCTCCCTGCCAGACAGTCCATGTTTTGGTTCCCACCCAGACCGTTCACATTTTTGCTACCTCCCAGCTCCCTGCCAGACAGTCCATGTTTTGGTTCCCTCCCAGACCGTTCACATTTTTGCTACCTCCCAGCTCCCTTCCAGACTATCTGGAGCTCCCCAAGTACAGACTTGGGAAGCACTGCTCTAACTCTGCTGGTACCATCAATGTCCTCATAAGGCCATGCAGAGGGTGACACTCACAGCAGCCTCTCCATGGCCTTCTTCTCCCCATTCTCCTCCCTCAGCTGGTCCAAGGAGCTGTGGTGCCAGCCCAGAGGTGTGAAAAGCATCTCCTTCGCCTTCTCCTCCACACGCCGGTTAAACAGCGACTCTGGCCCAAAGAATTCACCGTTAACAATCATTTCTAATTAAAACATTAAACTCAGTTAACATTTATAGAACTGGGAATCACTGAACAGGTGCCTGTTACATCTGGATAAGGCAAGTGAAATTTTAGAATTTAGTTAGCCCATACCTTTGATGAAGGCATCACTTATTGAAAATTGTTGTCCATCTTCTGACACCAAGAACTCAGCTATTAAAAGAAAAATAAAGGAGATTTTTACACTGGACGATCAGTCATTTTCTGCAGTGGAGGGTTTCGTTGCTTCACTGCTTATAAGAGATCTGAAAGTACCAGCTCATAGCATGTTTATAAGTCATTATTAAATCTGGCCTGCAGATCGATCTTTCATTCTCTACAGAATAAAGAAATGATGTAACATCATTCCACTAACCTCTGCCAGCAAAACCAGCAGGTTTCACCAGAATGTCCCCCACCTACCTACCAACTCAGCAAGTGGCTCAGAGGTAATCACTATCAGCACTGACGTTATTAGACAAAACTGTTATCGGTCAAAATTCATCACTATTTCAAAATGTTTGCAATTGTTTTTGCACAAAATGAATTACACAGCTCAAATTCTCAGCTTTCAAAGAATAAACTCTCTCAGAATATGTGAAAGTGATGCAAGTGCAGAGCACTGGTAGACTTTAGCATCATCAGCTCAAGCAAAATAAGACTGTGAACTTTGAACAGTTAATGAGCTGCAGTTAAAGCGGCTTGGAGCACAGGGCCAGCCAATCAGGATACGGATGAGAAAAACAAAGAGGAGAGCAGGGGGAGGAAGGACCTTTCTGCTCCGAGGGGTGTGGAGGCACATGGGGGTATTTGGATTGCTTTTTGATGTGAAAGTTGACATTGTCCTGCTCCACATTTAGGTTGATGGAGGCTGCAGAGTCGCTGTCCACCGCAGAATGGAAGCTGCTGACTGACGTCCTCTTACTAGGGCTGGCAGAGTCTAAATAAGGAGAGACGCTGAATCAAAATGTGGTGTCGCGACAAACGGAGCAGGCAGAGACGCTGAACCAAAACACAAAAATGCAGTGTCGCGACAAACGGAGCAGGCAGAGACGCTGAACCAAAACACAAAAATGCAGTGTCATGACAAACGGAGCAGACAGAGAGAAACTGAATCAAAACGCAGGGCATGCATTAATACTGAAGGAAAGAACAGAGCCAATACAGGAGATTTCATAGCAAGGCAGCTGTCACACTAATAAGAGCTAGAATTGCCCAAATACTCCTGATTAGACAGAAAGGCCCAAGGGTACGCACTGGGCATGATATAGTCGCTCTCGTCTGCCAGCTGCTCAGGGTCACTGTCATCAAACTTGATATCTTTGAACCACGAGGGCTCAGAGTGTCCCTCCAGGGAGTTTACACTGTCACTGTCTGGGGACGGGGTCTCCGAGAAGTCAGTGCTCTGCGGACAAAACCAGGAAGATCAACAATAACACCATCATCATACACATATCAAGCAGTAGGAATTATCAGCTATATCAGGATATATGGCATATTTATGCATAAATGCTACAGGTCACAAGAAATATGCTTGGGAGTGCCAGTCTCTACCTGCAAAGGGCGATAGAGAGCATATTCATCCCGGAAAAGCTGATCATGATGTGTGACGCAGTCTAACCAGCGACCGTCCACCAGAGCCTGTCCGATAGCTATAGCCTGAGCCCTGTAATGGAACACAAAATCGATAAAGATGTTTTAGTCCAATCAGCAAGCGGAATGGCATTTGTATGCCGCTCAAATGTCCAAAGTCAGCTCTTTCAATAAACATCACAGGCTCCTCAGCTTTAAGTACCTCGTGGAGATTGTGCCATTCCGCAGAAGCCAATTGACCAGCTCCTTTCCCACAATGCAATTGGGGTAGGTACGCAGCCAATAGCGGTGGTCCTGGAACTCCATGCCGGTGTTACTGTGACAGATCTTCTTCCATAAGTCTTTTAGCTGGGAAGAATCCTAATGAAATAGCATAACAGACAACAATGGAGGAGTGCTGATATAAAGGCAGCTTTATTGTAAGATTTTTAACAAAGGGGGAGTTTGAATGCACTGATATAACAGCCAATGAAATATGAATAATTTAAATGAGTGAATACACACTGTAAACTGGATCAATAGCACATAAAACCTGACAAGATCTCACAAAGACAATCGTATGGAACTGAAGAGAAAGCAGAGATTGCGAGTACCAGCAGTATCTTGCGCTCCTCCTCACTGTGGTCAGGCTTGGGCATGGCCCGGCTCGTCTGGGGGCTTACGGAGCTGTCGTAGGACGGCACCATGGAGGAGCCTGAGCGGTCCAGGGAAAGATTGGTGATGCTGGCCGACCTGTTGAAATAGGAGAAGATGTTTCCACCGTTCAAATTATTCCACCATTTTGTATTATTTACTATCAAAAAGGGAAACGTATCTCATTGGCTTACTGCTTGAATACGGTTCTCCTGTCAAATCCACATCCCCACCCCCCCCGCCCACAATCCTTGTAAAGCGGTGAGATGTGAACAAAACTGAAACATGCCACCGCTATTTGCAGGTGTTCCAAGGACGTCCTGGTGCATTAGTAATGTGATACGCATTTCCCAGCACTGAACACAGACAAGCACATACACGCACACCAGTATTAATTTCGCTGACTAAAACCATGATGAAAATTACTCAATGAAGATATTACACTGACAAAAACGAGAAGATAATAAAATAAAAATTAATTGATGATGCCAAAAACTATGATGAAATGCATTGACACTTGAAACAATGAGCAACAAATGAAAATGAGTCAGGAATGTCAGGAAGGGGTGAATTTAAAACTGAGCCAATTAGAAGTAGCATGTTTAATTATAGGGTTGATTGTAGTTGCACATGATAGGATAATACTGATCTAACCGGCTTCAAGTGCATAATCCATGCAGTTCCGTCTCTAAAGTTTGTCTTTAAACTTTTTATGTCTTTGCTAGCAAATTTTACCATGGGGGACTGTAAACTGCTGAGCACTGGTGTTGTTTCTTATACTACGAATGGAGATGCGTTACATGCAAATATGGTTTTTGCGACTAAATTTTGGTTTTACTTAAACTTTATCATTAAATAAAATATATATAAAGCCATTTTTTATTTAGTGCAATGTTTCATTTGCAGGCTTTGTAAATTAATTTTATGTCTTTCAAGAGCAAATATTCAAAGCTTCACAAATGCTGCCATCAGGAATCCGGAGGAGATAGAGAAGACAGTGTGTGTGTGTGTGTGTGTGTGTATGTGTATATACACTAAAAATTAGGTGAAGTTTTCAAAGAAATGTAAAAATTATGTATTAGACTATGACAAAACCTGCTAGTTTCATTGACTGTGTACTGTAGACTTTGACTAAATATCCCATAATTTTCATCAAACTAAATTAATAAATAAATCAGATGACTCAAATACAACTAAAGTGCACAGTATCTTCCTCAAAAGACTCAGACTACAGCTTAATCAAAATATGCTGACAAAATGAACACTGATGCAGAAAGAAAGGGAAACAAACCTTTTCCTGGCTGGGGACTTGCCCACATCCTCCTGCACTGCCCCTAACCTGGAGCTGAGGCCACTGTTCTGGGACTCCTGGTGGATGAGACTGACCCAAAGAAAAACACAGAACACATCATTCAATGACTTGAATATGCAGCCACTCTCATCTCCGTCGCAGCGTCCAATCAAAATAAGGCTCCGTATCAGTAAGAACACACACATGCAAAGATTCCAATCCACCAGACCACTCGAAAGCATCCACTCAGAGCTAGTGCACAATACTCTTGAGAAAAACAGCACTATGACTCACTTCTTCCTTATCCCAATTGGAGTTTTTCTATGTGAAGGGAAAAAGAAAAGAAATCTCTTTTTAAATACGTACGGGCACATATTGGGCAAAGTGATTTGTCAAGGGAAGTGACGTTTGGGAGAAAGGATTTCAACACAAGCCGGGCCGTAAGCAATCAAAAACAGGACTGCGTTCACCATCTCTCTTAACCAGGAAGTCAAGGCATGCACTACCTGAGAGCTGTCCCAACAAGCCCTGACAGTTCCTCTCTTTTCACTGGTAACCAGTATTCTGAGGCTGACCATTAATTAATTTAACAAACATAGGGTCATCCTACTTAATCTCGAGCAAGAAATGGGGGTGTCATTTCTCCTCACCAAATTAATTACCCTTTCTGATTGACCTCCCTTAAATGATAAAAGATTCTCTTCTGAAGATGTATACAATTTAAAATGTGAACAAAAATAGTAATTTTCAATAGTAATAGTGGCCAGTAAATATGAGCTTGTGGCACAGAACTAAAAATGTGGACCTGACAATCTGCATTGGACATTCAGAGCATAAGGATGGTCTGAAGGATTTCCAGGGGACCCAATCACACACGCCTCACAGCAAGCCAATCAGGTCAAAAGCCAAAACCTACATCCATCTTGGGAAGTTGCCAACAGTGTTACTCACTCAATACTGTCAAGGAGGCACCCCAAGTACCAGACAGAGGAACTGGACAGAGAGGGGGAGGAGGAGCTCGAACACTATGTACAGAGGCATGGGCCAATCAGATGAGAGAGGGAAAACACGAAAAAAAAAGATAGACAGGGAGAGATGGGGGGGCAAAAGATTAATTAAAGGCAGCAATGAGGGGGGAAAAGGGCAGGACATAGGCAGAAGGTTGACTGGTATGTTCCTGTGGTCACCTCTGCCAGGCCAGGTCCTCCTCCAGGAAGATGTTACGGCTGGATTTGCGGCCGCCCAGCGGCGTACGCGGTTCACTGGGCTCCAGCACGCAAACAGAGCAGGGCGAGTCCGACAGCACGCTCAGGTCCTCACCGATGGAGCCCGAGTCGGCCGAGTGTGCGTAGCTCAGCGCTATCTTGCGGCAGTAGGTGCAAGCCCGCAGGTCTCCTGCAGAGGGCAGAGGTATGGGTTTGGGGGGGGGGAGTCAACTGTTTCACACTGAAGCCAGACTACAACATGCCACACAAAGAACCCCAAAGTGTCCCGGTCAAAAAAAATTAATGAAATCACATCCTAATGGACGCTTCATGGGTAAATATTGCAGCAGACAGCTAAACACTCTGAAGAAACTGCTTCTGAAATCTGACTCTCATAAGATCCAAAGCTAGCAGCAGCCTGGACTTCACAGGCGACTGTCACCACGCACGTTTCAGCAGGGTGACACGTCATGAAGCTGCTTGACAGCGAGTTCCCCCCCCCCCACTCACCTGTGTACCCCATGAACTTGCCAGGAATTTCCTGATTGCAGCAGCGGCTACAGAATATCTGGCCACACAGCCGGCAGTGGTGGCGCCGCCGGAAGGTGGTGAACTTCTCGTTGCAGTCGTAGCACTCCTTACACTGGCTGTCCGGCATCCAGTACTGCTTTAGGTCGCTGTCCTGCAGCAAGCATGGGGCAGGGCGGGGCTTATGTCTTAACCAATCAAAGTGTGGAGAATTATACAAAGACGCATGAAGGATATATGGGTTCAAATAAATGCTACAGTGCTTCTCCCCTATCAGTGAATGTAAACAAAATCGGTCAATGACTATTTATCCAGTGCATTGCAGGGCACCTTCTTTGAGAAACAAATCAACTGAATTGCATGTCTTTGGACAGTGGGAGACACCCAGAGACACAGGAAAAGCAGAAATACACACAGAGCTGGGGGACAAACCAACCCCACAAACCTAAAGGTGTGAGGCCATAGCGCTAAATGTAATGAATGATTAAATAATGTTCAAGGGATATTGTATTTTATTCTAAGTTCTAAGTTACATGAACACATAAAACAAGTAATTTATGATACAGTAATTATCTAGTAGTACGGTTATGGTATTATGCAGGACACCAGTGGTTTTATGATTGGCTAGAAAATGAATTAATTTGATTGGAGCAAAATATTTATCTGCAAAGCGCTAGGCAAGTTAGTGCCAAAATTATTTATGTGCGCAAGTGTGAATTTGCACTCGCAGGTTGGTATTTGCAAGAGGACATGGATTTGCAATACTGGCTTTGTACTTGAAAACCATTCTATCTTTGTAAAAAATATTTTTATTAAGATGTTTGGTTTCGCATTTACAAAAAATATTGACGTGTATTTGCAAAATGTTTTTCACGTTCATTCACAAATCTTCATATAAAACTACAGATCACGTGACGCATATTTCTGTTCAATATTTTGCGAATAAAAATTGTGTTCAGTGCGAGCAAATTTCATTTTACGGGTGCAAATTGGAAAGTACACATACAAGTATATATTCTGACTATATAATATTATATATAATAATATATACTATTCTGACTCCATAATATTGTAACTTAATACAGTAACATTTCAGCAGTTCACAAGACAGTGATTTTTTTCCCATCCAGATTACTTGGAAATTAAGATTAAATTTAAACCAGCTAATAAAGAAGTGCAAATCCCTGGGGGGAAACAATGTGGTTTATGTTCATCTTCGGCACGCGGCTCACCTGGCTTTTGCCCTCCATTATTTCCTTCAGCCTCTTGAGGGCAGTACGGAGCTGAACCGCAGTTCGCGGGTCGTGACTCCCCAGCGGGGCCTCCGATTTTCTTCGCCCCTCTAAGTAAAACAAAAACAACATCTAGATTAACCAGTGGAGTGGCACAAGGTTGCTGGAGCCAATATTTTTTATGATATATAGTATGGTTCTTCAAATCTGGACCTCGATTCCAAATCCAGGCCTTGTTTTCAGTTCTCCCAGGTAGTTAGTTTAAT